GGAGAGAGGGGTGCTGTATTTATAGGACTGGACGCGAAGCGTCCAACCCCGGCCGTCCAGATCCAAAGCGTCCAAAGTTGGACGCCTTACACGGCCCGTCCATTCGCTGCTCGCCACGTGGCTTTCGTGATGCCCAATCTTTGCCAAGCGTCCAAGGGGAAGCGTCCAACCTGCAAAGCGTCCAAGGCTTGGACGCTTCGGGCCTTCTCCTGTGGGCTTTTTCCGCGGCTTGATCCAATTCAGGCCCAATTTCAATTTTTACTTTGCTTCGCAGTTTGTTTCAGCTTTCTCCGATATTCTCATGATAAAATTCTCAGTAAAAAACTTCTTTTTCTTTCAAATATAAACAGAAGAATCAACAATCAGGACTGGATAAACTTTAAACCAATTATTATTCCTTAAGGAACAAATCAAAGATATTGTTCAGTTTAACATAAAATTATGTATTGCTTACCACTATTTTCGTGCAATAACGCTTAAAATATGTAGAATAAAATAAGAACAAAATGAACTTATCAATCAACCAAGACAACTCAAGAAAGTTTCAAAGATGGTTCTTCGTGAATTGAAAACCCAAGAGAAACACACAAGCTCACAAGATTACTCTCATTCGCTCATATTTTCACTTAAAGTTAATTGCTCACAACCTAACTTCTAAGCACAATCAAGAGGTCTTTTATTAGATGAAGGAGAAGGATAAGACATGGATGGTGAAGGGACAAGAAATGGATAAGGGTAAGAGATGGATGGAGACATGAAATGAGATGGCACAAGTTTTTGTCGGTGTGGGAAAGAAATCCAAAGTGTTAACCCGCAATCAAGAGAAGTTAAGGTTAATGAAAAGATGTGATATGAGTTTCAAGGAATCCACCTTAGGAGACTATCATATATTGCTCATGCGTTTTGGGTGAAGCAAGTTACATTCCGGAGCTCAACCCTCCATTGAGGTATACTCCAAGAATGCAAGCAAAAGCACGTATGTCTCATTACTCAATTGCGCACTTATTTAATTTTTTTAATTTATTTAATATCCCAAAAGGGTAAAATGTGCATTACAATACAATAGTAGATGCTACCAAAGCATACACACATGAGATTGCATATCCACTGGTGTTGTTTAATGGTGTGATACTAGTCCCCCACTAAGGAAATGTGTGCAAATAACCAAGGCTATCAAGGCAAGATCATATGAGACAAAGCCAAGATCATCCATTTGCAATCATACGCGTATCAAGGCTCAACTAAAGCAAATAACCAATCAATAAGCAGCATTAAAAATATTCCCAACCAAGAGCTCTCCATCAAGAAAAATTAACACAATGAATTCTTTTCAGGTAAGAAAATGGGTAATATGGATAAGTGAGGGTCATGGGGAAATGAGGAGAAACGGGGATGGAGTTGTGCCTCAATCACTTTGTTCCTCAAGGTGTGGGTGTGTGCATAATGTAGCTCTAACACTCATGGGTCAAAAACGGTGATTCTCAAGAGATTTCACAACACAAAGAAACATTTAAGAAACACTCTTGAACGTGTCTAAGTCAATATTCACAAGCATATACGAACAAGATTCACCACATGATATAAACTAAACATAAGCTAGCACACTAGCCCAAAGACTAAAGTCTTGACTACTCCCCCCACACTTAGATCGAGACACCGTCCTCGGTTTCAAGAGACATGAAAAACAAGAGGGCAAAGAGTGTGGAAAGCACAAATTAACCATTAAGAGCAAGGGTGGGTGGGAGGGAATCAATGCAACTCTACTTAAAATCTCCCAACTTCTCTTTATTTAGCCCCGTACCTATATCCAAACAAAACAATCTGCAAAGAGAAGCTCAAAGTAGAAAGTTAGGGAGCTCATCATTGAAAGAAAGTAAAAGAAAGCAATTAAATTAATAAATAAAGCTTGGGTTGCCTCCCAAGAAGCGCTCTTTTAACGTCATTAGCTTGACGATTTTATTTTTAAAAGAAATTCCTTTAGGTGCTTCCCTAGGAAAACACCCTTGAAGCGTTTGAAGTTAGGAAGCCATAATAACTTCAAATGCTTCCCAAGATAGACCCCCTTCGGTTTTGAAAAAGTAGTGAACGAAGGGGTGATTTTCGGGAGAGTAAAAGATTGATAAAAAGTTAAAGTATGAACCCTCTCCCGAACCGTTGAGCAACAGGGGAGAAAATGTTCTCCCGGCTCAAATGGAAAGCCTAGCCAATACGGATGTATATCTAAGTGAGAACTAGTAGTCTTATGCAAATTAGAATGATTAGGAAAGTGCAAACCGAAGGTTGGAGCTACAAGTAACTCCGGCCTCTCCAAGGCTAATGATGAATCTACGCTCAAGCCTCCCTTGATTGTCATGCATGGCTCGGGAGGAGCCTTAAGAAGTAGATGTTCAGGTTCATCCCCAAGTGGCTCCTCCATGATCTCTCCCAAATCAGATTCCTCCACCACCGGCTCAAATAAAATGTCACTCTCTTCTTTGACCTCCGATTGCATAGTACCCAACACCAACGGATCCTCACCTTTATCAATGACTATCTCTAAATATTCCTCCACCTGTGTATCTTCCTCCCTAGATCCCACTACCTCTCCACTTTGACAAGATTTACAAGGGAATGTTTGAGGAGGGTAGCAAGGACAGAATGGTGGGTAATATGGGTTAGGCAAAGGATAAGCTTGAGGCCAACCAGCATATTGACCGTTGAAGTAAGGGGACGGATATGGTAAGGTTGGAGGGTATATGGGTAAAGACGAAGGTGTTGATGAGGGGTAAGTGATATGTCCTCAAATGTCATATTTTATTCGCCCATATTAGCCCGTTTTAGTATATTCTAGATGCATTTTATACACATTTAATCACTATAATGTTTTTGTAGCAATTTAGGCCAGTATTTATATTTTAATAAAAAATGCATTCTTTTGAGTATTCTTTTACTTCACTATTTTATTATCCCATTTACCTTGACGTTGGTCTTAAAAATTGTTTTGAGTAGGGATGGCAATTCAACCCGAACCCGAGCTTAACCGACACGACCGACTACTAAAATATCCGAACCCAAACCGAGAATAAAATAATCCGAACCCGACCCGAAATTTTTTACCCGAACCCGACATCGGGTCGGGTCGGGTGTGGATTTATAATTTCACCCGACCCGACCCGAACCCGCACCCGACCCGACTAAAACCCGAATATTTTATTACATAAAAGTCTATCTATGGATATAATGAGCATTCCGTATAATCTCTTGACAAAGTGCTACTAATCTACTATATCAAGTATGCCTTTTTAAATCATTTTTATAATCCCTTAATAAAAAATGAGACATAAAAAAGAGACACAAAAAAATTAGATTTAATCTTTTCAAAATTATTGGGGTACGTCGAATTGATTATTGGTTAAAAGTCGGGTTCGGGTCGGGTTCGGGTTTCGGGTTGAAATGTCGGGTTCGAGTCGGGTCGGGTTTTTGGCTTAAAAGGTCGGGTTTCGGGTCGGGTTCGGGTTTTGGTTTTAAAAGTCAGGTCGGGTTCGGGTATAGTACTATCCGACCCGAACCCGACCCGTTGCCATCCCTAGTTTTGAGAAGCATCAAAAGGCTCGGGAATCCCGGGGGCGGTCGAGAACTTGACCCATTGGACCACTATAAAGTTTGGATTTTTGGATGAAGTAGCCCAAGGAAAGCAGCCCAATTTTAGCGGACGGACATGTTCGAATGGTCCAAACGAAGACAAAAACCTGCCATTCTTCGATTATCAGCGGCAAACAGCGACAAAGCATGTTTGGACTCGGATTTTGAGTCCTAACCCGGGAAGATCTCAATCGCAGCAAATAGGAAGACCCCGATTCAATCTTGAATCCTAATTCTAGACGGGAAGCGAAATTCCAGCCCCTATAAACGCACCAGGCAGCAGCGGGGATCAGGAGATAGAGACGAGAGGAGAGAGGATCGCATAGCAGCGGCGAGGATTGCCACCACCGACCTAGGGTTCCGACCCTAGGTCTGGCGATGGTGGCGACGTGGACTGGAGAAGAGGACAGGGGCGGCAGGGAGTAGAAGAGCCGACCTAGGGTTCCGACCCTAGGTCCGGCCCGGCAAGACAACGGCAACTGGATTCCGGCGAAGGAAGCGGCAACGACGGCGATGACAATTCCGGCGCGGCGGTTGACTATTGTTTCCTGCTGTGCTATGCGAACAATGAAGACAATTCAGGGAGCACTTTTTTCCCCTTTTAAAACTACTTCGTGCTTTTTACAAACTTTGGCTTTTGAAATTTTGAAATCTTTGTTTTCCGATTTCATGATGTCTAGTATTAAAAATATACTTTATGTTGAATTCCCAATCTTAATTTTGTGTTGAAATGTTTGAGTGCTAATGTTGAATTGTTCAAATATGATTTATTAATTGATTATTGTCTCTGGAATTATAAAACCTTCTTAAGCCAAAGTGTTTGACAAAAAGATTGAATCTTTGATTTGGTTGTATTTGTTGGGTTAATTTGACTTTGAAGAGATTTTAGCTCTATGCTACCGTTAAATCTAAATTGAAAAGGTGTTTGAAAACTGGTCTTTGTTTAAACTTGGATTAGATCAATTTAGGACGGCTGCCTAAACTCGAATTCCAATTCACAGTTTTAAGATCTTGAGTACGTCTGTAGCTGAGATTTTCAAAACACAAGTGTCACCTTGTTAATACTTAATTGGCTCCCACTCGATTTTTAAAAATTAGAGTTTTCAAACTGGCTATGTTAAATAGATATAATCTACTGCATAGTTGTTAAGTAATGTTTTCTAAAGAACTTAATGCTCTATTTTTACTCCCTCCGTCCCCCAGTTTTTGTCCACTTTTGACTTTTGGAACTGTTCATCTAAGCACTTTGACTCATCAAATTCTCTCAATGTGTAAGCCTAAATATAGTCATGTGTGATTTTGTTTGATTTGTCTTAACATATAGATTATTAATATATAATTTCTATAATTTTTTTAATATACAAATTACAAGATAAAATGGATTAAAGAAGTGCATTGGATGGTGTGTAAAAATGAAAGTGGACAAATACTATGGGAAGGAGAGAGTAATTAAATCTGGGGGCATGTCCTTTGGTTGTTAGAAATAGTAGGTTCTAGAGTTAGGGCATGTCTTAACATAGACTATATTAGGGAGAATAGGGAAGAACCGCAAGTGGATCTCTTCTTCGGCTTAACCCTGAGCTTAATTAGCAGTTTAGTTTCAGGATTAAGACATAATTAACTGATTAATCAGATTTGTTCAATTTATTTTTTATTAAAAACTAAAAGTATTTTCAAAATGGTTTAAATTAATTATTATTATCTACGTTTTATAAAGTTTATTTTGTGATTGTTTTTATGTGTTTGTTTTTCTCCCTGAGTGTTCTTCTGAGTTTTAAGCTTGCTGTTGTGATTCCACCTCTTATCTGTTATTCTTTATCTTTATTTTATTGCATTTTTTATCTTTTTAGAATTATCATTCAAACCCCCCATATCCTTTAGTTTTAATTTTTTTAGATTTTAGTTAGTTTTTATTCAATAAAAGTGTTAAGTGAATTGATTTTCATAGCTTAAAAGTATCTTTCCTCGTGGGATTGGCCCTTACTTGTCCTATCTATATGTTTTGATGAATATTGAATCATAAAAGGGGTTAAGAGTTAAGGAAATTAATTACTCCCTCCGTCCTATAATGATCTTCCCGGTTCGTAAAACGAAGAAAAATCCCAAATTTTTTCAATCTATTTTATTTAAATATTGGTATAGAAATAAAAAATAAAACATACATATTTAAAAACTACACCAAAAGTTCAACAAAACAAGTGGTGACAAGAATATTTTATTTTATCATATAGGCTATGAAAAAACACAAATAAATATAAATTCCCGTGAAGTTAGAATAGTGCTCTGAGAAGATCATTATAGGACGGAGGGAGTAATTAATTTGTAGGTGCTACGACACGCCCAACAGTAAAAAATAGGATATGGAACTTTGGGTTGAGGTAGGAAAGCTTGTGAAGCTTTAGAAATAGTCGGGAGGGTGGATGGGAATATATTCAAGGTCACTAAGTGAGAATTCAAATCTTGGTATGGTTGGATTAAGGGCAAGGCTTTGAGCGTAGAGTTAATTCTCCAAACGAAGCTCTTCAATGATAGAATCTATATCCTCCATGATTGCACACCTACGAAGATAATACAAAAAAAATGAAAACAAATAACAAAAAAGAATGGCCTAGTCTCCACTATTTCAATTAATGTTACCTAACACAAAGCACTCAAAACCGTTGCTATCCCCGGCAACGGCACCAGTTTTGATGCAAAGATTTTTCGATACGTCGTTTTATAACGAAAACTTCGATCAAAAAGAGATGAGGTGAAGTGAAATGGAAATGTGGAAAATGTAAATGAGTGAGTATAATGGTGGAAGTAAGGGTTGTCGTGTCCACGAGGGATAGCGTACTTGGTTAGGAATCGAGTGCAGAGTATAACTAAACACTAATATCAAATTGTTAAACGTGAATCAAGGTCTAGAGATAGAGCGGGTGAGTGAAATGCAAGTGCAATGAAGTAAACTAATGCAACAAACAAACTAAAATGAGATGCAAGTGATAAAGGAAAAGCAAGCCTAGGTTAGGAGATTTCATGCTAATCAATGCAATTGCCAACGAAATAGAGGAAGATGAGAAATCAACAATGAAGCGAGCAAATCACCCTGATTTCACTTCCGTGAGAATCGGAAAAGAATCCCCTAGAGAAGAATCCACTTCCATGGCGCTCGTCTCAAGAGAACTACAAACACATCATTCCGTGGTAGGACTTGAGAGTAGAGACACACGGCTAGGAGTCTAAATCCCGATTTCTCGGCAATTTAGAACTCACTCCGGAATACAAGAATGCCATCATGGCCAACAATAACATCCAAGCATAGATATAACACAATCCCTACAAATATCCTTAAGCTAAAATCTCATATCTCACACCAATTCATCAACGACAAGCACAAATCAACAATTCATCCCTAGCCTAGGCTAGAAAATCTAGCCTAGCATGCTTAAACTAAAGAGATGCATAAAAGATAAGAGAGTAAGAAAATAAACTAAAGGCATAAACGAGATGAAGAAATTAATAATCTAACACTAAGAAACAACTAAATAATATTAAAGAGATAATATTAAGGTTGGAGCTCCCAAAATGAAAAGAGATGGTGATGAAGATGAATAAACCCTAGTCTAAAATATGGAATGAGAAGAAATGGGGGAGCTCCCTTAACAACTGGAGCTAGGGGAGTATATATAGAGTAGAAGAAATTGGGAGTGAAATGACCAATAATGATTTAACTAAAACCAGAAATAGGAGTAGAATTTAAGGGTAAATGGGTCAATTTACACGCCAAATTGGATCTGGGTTTGCTCTTGCTGGTCCTCGCTGGTTTGGACTCGGTGCAATCAACGGAAAGAGGGAGTCAGCTGCCAGTAATGCTCGTCGCCGGAGCAGAGGGAAGCCCTGGTCGGAGCCTCGCAGGTTGTCGCCGGTGGTTCGTCAGTTTGTCCGGGTCGGGTCGCTAGTTCTGGAAATCTCCCCATGCTGCTGCCCGTCGCTTGGCCTGGAGGCTCGCCGGAGGTCGCCGTTCTCACCTCTGCTCTTCGCCGTCGGAAACTCGTCGTCGCCGCTGGAGGATGCTGGGTCACGATTAGTTCCGGGTCGCGTAGGATGTCGCGATTCCCTCCGTCTCCGTCGGATTAGCATTTGATCTGGGGAAATAAAACTTCTAGAAATTCTAAATTGGCCCCACAATGTAATCCTTGCTTGCAATTCAATCCTTTTCTTTGTAATTGGACCCTAAAAAAGCAATCCATAACCACAAATCAGTCCAAATTTATATATTTAAAGAACAATTCACAATTAAGCCTCAAATTTTATTAAAATTCAAGTTAATAAGTCTATCAAAAGATAATAAAATATACATAAATAACAAGCTTATCAGTAATCGGCGTTGGTTTTTGGCGTCCGCACACAACCAAGTGGTTTTTAACTTTTTATGATTGGTTTTTACTTCTGGGAATGTTTAAATAGTTCTCCAACCAAAACACTTCAAAAACCAGCTTTGTTTTTTTGTCTTTTGGTAAAAACCATGTGAAACGGAATAAACTTGGCTAGCCGTGGTTTTTACATAAATGGCGTGGTTTAAAAGATGTTTCACTTGGTTTCTTAAAACAATACATTAAATAAATGTTTTCAACACTTTCTTTTAAATTTGGAGAATTTTGATTTTTGACATCGGCTTTCGGTGTTGACTGGCTAGCCATGGTTCTAGCAAACCAGCCCAATTGCGATTTTGGAGTTCCCAACAGCACTGTCTGGTGTTGGCACCTGAAAACCATGGTTTGGCACTAAGTCCTCCAATAGCAATGTTGGTTACTGTACATCGCTGTTGAGCTAAGCCTGAAATTCCAAAAGCTTTTTGAACAACGATGTAGACTTCTATACAGCGATATTCAACTCAAGCCAAGAGAAATTGTTTTTGGCAGAAAGCTTTTGAACAGCGATGTTGGCCCGGCAACATTGATGTCAGGCACAATTCTTCTTGGGAAGGTTAAGCCTGAACAGCAATGTTCACTTATTAACATCGATGTAGGCACCGGACCGTTGGAAGAAATTAAAGACTAAAACCTTCCATGTTTGGAAGTCAACGCCTTGAACAGCGATGTTCACATTCTAGACATTGTTGTTGGTTTGACCGTTGAAGCTTCCAATTCAGAAATCTAAGCCTCAACAGCGATGTTCAAATTATGAATAGCGTTGTTAGGCATTTTTTCAGTAGATCCAATTTTAATCAAATCCCACAAATTATGCTAATCACCCCCAATAAACTCCCACACGTTGGAGCCTATTTTTCTACTATAAAATGGGGTGTTTGGGTCTGCTTTTCAAAACTAATAACTTCACAATTCATACTACTTCATTACATTCCACCATTATATTTTTCATAGCTTTTGAGATCCATTTGTGTGAAGTTTTTGTTGTGTTCTTGAGCGTATTATTTTACTCATTATCCACTCTTTTGAGAGAGCTTTGTTCTTGAGTGTCTTAGTGTTTTACACACTTTAAGGGAAGCTTGTTTCCATTAGTTGCACGAAGGAAAGGTATTTTCCTTCGGGTTAAAGTCTTAGAGTGCGGTATCTCCAAGCAAGTGTATTGAGTCTCGTGTGACTTGAGTTCTTAGGTTGTAACGGTTTGTTAAGCACCCGTAAGCTTAACGGAAGTAGTGTAGCTCGAAAGAGTCTCTCGGGAGACTGGACTAGCCACACGTGGTGGACCTGTATAAATCTTGGTGTGCTCCCTTTACGCTTTTCACGCTCTTTACTTTTTATGTTCTTAATTTTTTTTTTTTGCGTTTTTTCCTGATTTTTTTCGATTAACAATTGGTACTAGAGCCTAACTCTCTTCTAGACTTAACCGTTTGAGAGGTAAAATATCATGGCTTCTACTTCTAGAAATTGGTACACAAGAATAGGTGAAGGGCAATCAACCACACGGCCACCTCTTTTTGATGGAACCAATTATACATATTGGAAGAAATGGATGAGAATATATATTCGTTCCACAAACTTCCAATTATGGTTGGTCATCAAAAACAGGGAAGAGGTGCCGATGAAGAAGGTTGGAGACAAGTTAATCCCCAAGACCGAAGATGAATTTGATACCGAGGACATAAAGAAAGTAGAAATTTATGCCAAGACCATCAATATGATCTACTGTGTGGTCAATTCCGATGACTACAAAAGATCTCGTGTTGTTCAACCACAAAGGAAATGTGGGACAAACTGGAGGTCACCTACGAATCAGGTACGTGAGGCTAAATTGATTTTCTAACTCAAGAATATGAAATGTTTAGGATGAAAGAGCAAAAGAAGATTGACGATATGTTTGACTGGTTTTCCAAGATAGTCAACGATCTTCATGCCTTGAAGAAAACTTACACCGACAAGGATCTTGTAAGAAAGATCCTATGGAGCTTGACATCCGAATGGTGTTCCAAGGCCGATGCCATCTATGAGTCAATTGGCGCATCCAATATCAACATCGACGGCTTAAGAGGTAATCTAAAAACCTATGAATCTGCTATACTTAACCCGTCTCTGAATGATCAAAGGAAAGGCATAGTGCTAAAAGTCGTCAAAGAGCCGACGGTGAATTACTCAAGCGATGACGATGAGATCAAGCTTGTCATGAAGAAGTTCTGTAAACTTTTAAGGAAGAAAGAAAAGGTTGAGGATGGCCCTGTGTGCTATGGATGTGGAGAAGTCGGGCACATCAAGAACAAGTGCCCTAAAGGCCAAAGGAATGCACGCCGCTTCAAAAAGAAAAGGGCATACATACCCTTGGGAGGAGATTCCGGAGATGAAAGCAGCGAGGAAGAAGAGGAATAAGAAGCAAACATATGTCTTATGGCACACGAGGAAGACTCACCAACGACCTCCGACAATAAAGAGGTATGTACCACTCCCTCTAAACCCTACTCTTTTGAGGAAATATGCAAGATGCACTACAAGAACTCTATCAAGAGTTTGTCGGAGCTTCTAAATTGAATAAATCCTTAAAGAAACGTTTCTCTATTCTAGAAAACGATTTTGAAAACTGAAAAAAGAAAATGAAAAATTGAAACAAGAAAATAAATTTTATGGTAAAAGAAGCGCCGATAAACCGGAGAATTCTTCCAACGGATGTGACTCTTACAAACCCTTGAAAGAATAAGTTGCAAAACTTGAAAACACGATTAAGAGGTTTAATACACCGCAAAGATCTTAATACTATTCTTGATTCTATGCAATCCACTAAGGAAGGAATAGGTTTTGGCAAATATGAAAATGATGGTAAGGTTGAGCATCCACTTAACCTACCTAGAGCTCAACTAAGGAATGATAAAAATCAGAATAATAGACCACCTAATAATACTAGGAACAGTAGACAGCATGCTAGATCATCTAGAAATGACTATCAAAACAATTTTACACATAAATTTCACATTTCACAAGATATGAGAAATAATGTTAGACCACCTAGAAATGATACTTATGAAATATGCATAAACCATCTTTTCCTCAGAATAGGACAAATGCGGTTAGGCCCCCTAGCTACTATCAACCTAGGCGCATGTTCAACCCAAACGTAGTATGCCATTATTGCAATAGGATAGGACATATAGCTCCCATGTGTTTTAGCAGACATAGGCATTGCACCTACAATAAAACACACAACATTTTTGGTGTTAACAAAAAGTCATCCTTCGGAAAAGGATATTTGTGTCATAAACAATCTCCATAGGATAATGTACAAAAGAAACCATACTATTTCTTCTACTTTGAAGAAAAGAAGAAAGTCTATATTCCGTTACCGGAACACACACAAATCAAACTAAGATATCGACACTCCATTCGGGTAGATTGGAACCCGCCAACCACAAGACGACGGGTTGGCCAAGGTAACTCTTAAACAAACACTTAATCGTGTGTGTTTGTGTGTGTGTGTGCGTGTGCGCGCATGTGGGGATGAACTTTGGGTGCGTGCGTGGGTAGTGAAGTTTAACTAATCCCCAAGGACCCATAGACATATTCTGGGTACCAAAGGTTTATTTTGTAGGTGAGCAAAGCCCACAAAGCAACATCGCTATTCTGACATGGCTGTTTAAGCAGCTTACAGCGCTGTTGAGACAAACACCGTCAACAACATTGGAGAAACAGCGATGTCAATAACCCCAACATCGGTGTCTCAAGGAGTTCTTTTCCTCCCTTGATTTCCAGAAACTTTGGGAACAGCGATGTAGTTCTTTCCAACATCGCTGCCACAGGAAGTACACTCTTTTCATTCGAAACCAGAAACTTTTCCAACAATGATGTACAACTACACAACATCGCTGTCCACCTTTACAAATTTTTTTTCCTAATAATTAAACAGCGATGTTAAAATTCTCAACAACGATGTTCAAAAGGCACTAGTACAAAAATGACCAAATAAATCGCCTCATTTGCATCGTTAAGCTAAACAAACGATGTAAATGCAAAAAAAAATTCGCGTATCGCTTAGCTTTTGGATCGGTTATCCGTAATAACCGATGCAAAAAGTATTTGAATCGGTTATCACGGATAACCGATTTAAAAGCTGACCATCTTTTGGATCGGTTATTCCTTATAACCGATTTAAATACCTTTTGAATCGGTTATTAGTAATAACCGATCCAAAAGAGTGTGATAAAATTAGCCAACCCTACCTTATCCTTACGCGTTTTTGAAAAAAAAAACCTCCAATTCCGTTCTTCGTCTTCGTCGTGCTCTTCGTCTTCGTCGTGCTCTCCGTCGTCTTCAACTCCACACCACGCT